AGTAGGTATGCAGGAATCACTGTTTCTGTATGGTTTTTGCATGTCTTTCTGAAAAAGAGAGAGCAGTAACTAATATCTCTCATGCCTCGCCCTTTTTTCCCTGAAAATTCTATGATACTCTTTTTGGGCACCACATCTTTCCCATCCCATCATCACATGTCATTGACAATAGCTTGGTGTTGTCTTGTTTAAGAGCACTTCAGGAAAAAAAGTGCAAATAGCAATCTTTAGGTAAGTGAGTAATAAGTTGTCCCTTGTAGTGAGGGAAATCAGCTGAGCATGATCCTGAATAGCTAATCAATGATGAGCCAATGCTCTTTCAGGCTCCTTCAAACACATGTCTGTGGAGTTTGTGGAGCCCTGGCAGAGAAAGGTGTACCTGGCCTCAGACTGTCCAGGTTCGGGTTTTCTTTTGCCAACTAGAGGATCCTTATTTCAGCCATAATCTCCTTGGGCAGTGCCAGAATGATGCCCCCAGCCTACTTACTTGAAATGATTTTGGTGAACCTTTTTCCAGTTGGAAGAAATATGAAGCTAAATAAATGGGATGAACAAGGAGGTGCTAATGGAGAATTTTAATTTCAATGAATTAACTGAAGTGGCTATTAAACATATTAAGGTGGATGCATTGATGTTCAGCAGTGGGTCCATATTGAAATTGCTTTGCTAAAAGCATGGCAAAAAGTGGCCAAGCCCTGTGATTCAGGGTAAATTGCCTTGTAATCAAGGCTCAGATTAAAACTAGGGAAGTCTGAAAGACTGAAAATAGGGCAGGAGAAGTGGAGTAGGCTCTAAATTTACCCTCAATATGATGAGGAGACAAAGATATGGAGAGCAAAATGGACTATCTAACGTGGAAATTTTTGTTCTTTGTGTGTTGAAAGGTTAATGTTAATGACTAACAGATTAAGATTAGAGGAGGCAATGCTGTGCTAGCATTGGAAGTAGAAGATGAATAAGGCAGCCAAGCTATGCTGAGAATATTCTATTTAAAGTAGAGATGTCTTTTTCCCATGTCTTTTCCCATGACTAAAAAAAGTGGGGGATGACATCTAATCATACTTAGTAGTCTTTAGGCAATACTTTCTGTGGCTCTATTTCAAAACTCTTATCCTGTGATTTCTCAACTAGCTAATTGCTCCTCCATTACCTTCCTGGTCTTGTAAGTTAGGAGGGATCTTTGTGTTTGAATGTTGGGCATCAACTTCACCCCCTCCTCTCCCAAACATGTAACCTCGGTCAGAATAACTGCTTGGGCAAAAGGACTTCTTTGTTGACAAAGAGTCAAGGCTTCTCAGTCAATATATACTCCATTCAAGAAGAATTTAACATGTCAAATACATCCTAGATAATTCAGTCATAGAAACATTGAGTGATGCAACTCATTTAGCTGAAATCTTCCTAATGGCATACAATGATTAATGTCCTATTTTGAGGACATCTCTGGAGACTTCTTCCCAGGATAGCTGCTGTTTTCTAAGCCATCATAGAATCTATGGTCTTGGCTTAACATTCATTGGAAAATGGCATTAATTTATTAAGATGAAGTCAGCTGCTAGGCCCTTTCTTGGGAAAGGGAATAACATCTTTATAGTAAGCTTACATGGAGCTCCATGGATGATAAAAATTCCCTAATTCAAATATTTATTCCTTAATCATCAGTTCATGGGTGTTTATGACTTATGGTCTTGAGACATAGGAAATTCAGACCATGACAGGTTTATAGTAACTCAGACCTTTTCATCTCTCTAGTAGAACCACATTATTTTTATGAAACAATTTTGCCCATATGGTAGGAACAGTCACGGAGAATATACTCGGTTATCTAATATCCTTATGACAGAAGTGTAAAAGATTGGGGCAAATAAAAGGTTGTTTGGGGTGGAAGGGAAGTAGAAATGCTGGGAACAGTATCTGAGAAGAATGAAGTCAACTCTAGCTACTCCTTTGTTTTCAGCTTCCACAGGAAGGTTCCCCATGGTAGCTTTTGTAAAATTCTATCATAATTGATGAGTTCTTCATATTTGGCCTCCTTTCTAGGACTCGATCTTTGCATGTCATTAGGAACATGAAGTCTCTGCAGGATTCTTGCCCTGAAGAGCTGGTATCAATGCTGTTTTCTCTGAAAAGGCCTCATCAGTGCTCTGGCTTTCTTCCTTTTTTTTTTTTTTAATTACATCTCTAGTGCTGCTTGCAATCTGGTATTGCTTTTTGATTTCTCCTGGGGTTTTGTTTTATCAAAGTTGAAATGAACAGAAAAATCCTTTGTACTTAGTTTGGGCTATTGAGGTTTCCCCCTCATATTTGCAGACAGGCCCAGGTCATCATGTGTTACTACATGGTAAGTGGCAGACTAGGAAAGACCCCAGGGTTGCTGTTACTTCTGTCTGTATAAATTCTGTTTTGAAGGCAGAAAAGTCATAAATCCCCAGGGATGGCTGGCAGATAGCTCTGGGATATGTTGAGATTCATATCTTAGTGGTTTTCAGTTTTACCTGTGCTCTAAAATCCCACAGTAAGCATAAGGTTTTCCTAGGAAGTTTAGGAGAAACTACCCCCACTTATTTTTCCCTTTTGTCCTCCAGAATACTATTGAAAAAATAATGGCAAGTTCATGATGCCCATATAATCCCATCTGGGTAGATGGGCATAGTAAGAATAAGTTTTAGTACCTTACTATATATAGTTGGAATGTTAAATTAGCTAACCTAGCCCCATTTTGTTTCAAGCTTCCACTGTGTTTCATACACTGAAGCTATAATTTAGCAAGTGTGCAGCCCATTACCAAGAGTTCCCAGGATATCTGGTAATCATTCTAGTTGCCTATGGTTAACTAGTACCTTAGAGGGTACCAATGTTCCCTGTGAAGGGAGCCTTGATGACCTACTAGGATTTCCCTTCTTGAGCACTTTCCCAGCAGGCAGAGCTCTTTAAATATAAAGCTCTTAAAGGTTTGGAGTAGTTGCTGCATCTTCCAAAATCTCAGCATTGCAGTGAACAAATAAAATGCCAGTTCAGCAGTCTGGGGTCTTTAAAGCAGAGATGTTATTTCCCCATGCCTTTAAAAAAAAAAGGGGGATGATGATAATCATATTTCATAGTCTTTAGGCAATGCTTTCTGTGGCTCTATTTCAAAACTCTTATCCTGTGATTTCTCAACTAGCTAATTGATCCTCCATTACTTTCCCAGTCTTCTAAGTTAGCAGGGATCTTTGTGCATGGTGAATGTTGGGCACCAACTTCACCTCCCTCAACTATGTAACCTTGGTCAGAATGACTGCTTTGTCAACAATGAAGTCATTTTGCCCAAGAATTGAAGATAGTTCCCAGATAGTCAATATATACTCCATTCAACAAGAATTTAGCAATTTATCCAGGCTTTTAGTACTCTACTCTTTCTTTTTCTGCCTTTAGGCTCCTCAGACTGCATGCTATATCTGGTTTTACTTTTTCATTTCCGGAACCTGTCTGCCTTCTCTGTATAATGAAGGCCTTTGAATACATGATCTCCCTAAAGGTTCTGAATCATTGGAAGATAATGACTAGAAAAGAGCCACTGAGCTTATAGAGTAGGTCCAAATGGTCAATTCTTATGAGTTTTAGTTTGATGTGTGATAAGTAGTCCTTCATCCTGTCCTTGGAAGTTCATAGAGCCTGGTTCAGAATAATCAGCTAAGTAACTTTGGATATGAAGTGGCCCCAATAGCTCAAGAGGATGAGCTGGGTATATGAACTTATCTGCCAGGAAGTCATACTTGGGAGGTATGTGTGGGTCCTAAATATACCTTTTGCAGCTAGATCTTTTCTGCAACCTCACAGTCTCCCTTGGTGTTGCCTAAATGATATTCTCAAATGGCTCTTCCAAACTAGTTTACACTGATGCTACTCTTAGGAGAATAAGTTAACGTAGAAACAGAAGGGAGGAGTCTAGAGCTGCTGCTACTTGTTGCAATTCAGTTACTGGGAGCTATGGAGAAAAATATCCAGTCTTAGAGTTCTAGGGGTGTTGACAAAGGATGTCCAGTCTTGGAGTTCTAAGGTTGGCTGCTTCAGTAACACCTAGATCAGTTGGGGAGGTGTCTGAATTGTGGCAAAGATCAGGGCAAATAAGGATGTAAGTTTGAGCTGCTCACTTTTATGATGGAGAATAAGAAGGTGGTACTGAAAAATTGGTAAACTTAGCTGGAAAAGGGATGAGACAATGTTCTGCTAAGGTGGAAAGTAAAAAGTGAGCTTGGTCAGATGAGTGAGCTGTGCCAACAGTATGCTACTTAAATGCCAGTTCTTTTCCATTAAGAAAAACCTTAAATTTTGTGAGGCATGTTTTCTTTAAATGGACATAGGCAGTGTTGGCTCTATCCGGGACCCCTACTTTTGATTTCCTCCTTTAGTCTTCTCCCAGGTGTTTTTAGTTGAATGTTATTGTCACAGTTGCCCCTGAAGGGATGGGGTGACTTCTTGCTTCCAAAATCTCATGAAATGACTCCACTGGCACACATCCTCCCAAAATCTGAGGTCTCAAAGAGATATATTTGTTTTCACTTTGCCACAAACGTTGCACTTGAGTTCTAGGTAATCTGTATTCCTGAATGTTCAGTGTTCTGGTGATCCACATGAAACAATGCTATAAATAAGGGCATGTCGATGATAAGGGAATCATGAAAAGTCTTAATTCCATCCTGAAAATTTCTCTTAGAGACTTGACCTATTTTTAGATCCATGCTTTAGTTGTCTGAGTTGACATGGGAAATGCCTTCACTGCCACTGCAGGCGCCCCTTTCTCTACTGAGGCTACAATAAAGCAATGTGACTTTAGTCTCTTTATCTTACCTTGCCTCTTAACCTAACATGAAGTCTGGCTCTGTGACACAGTAAGAATCCAGCCTGGAATGGGGCTGGTATGGTGTCTGGTTATGTTAACAAAAGAGCTTGAGTACTTCCTTGTGCCTGGCACACTGGCTCTGTTCCTCAGTGCTCTGCAAAAGCTGAGGACAGAGCCATTAGGTCAGGCCGGTCAGCAGTGCTAGGCTCCCATTGACTGTGGGAATTCTCTGACCTGGGACACCTGACTGCATTCAGGACAAGAGAAAGCTTGAGTGGCAACTCTCCAACTCCAGAAGAGACATGCTCTGCAAAAGCTATGCCCACACCCCATGGTGACTGGCTCCCAGAAGCAGCTCGTACAGATGCCACAGGTGATTGCCCTCAGCCATTCTTCTCTCTGCAATTGCTTCTTTTCTACAGCAGCTGAGATGAAGAGACTTCAGGCCTTGCAAGAAGCAAGGAGGCAGTGCTTCTGAGGGGCAGGATCGTCTCCTTTTACAGGAGGTAGCCCTGCCCCGTTAGGGCCTCCCAGACAAGGTGTCAACTCCTCTAGCCTGCAACCCTGCAGTTCCACCTGTTAACCCTTGCTGGTTGTAACAGCCCTGAGGCCCCCAGAGTTCACACTTCTGGTTGAATCCTTTGGATGGACAAGTTTCACCATGCTGAGAGTGCTCCTGTGTGTAAGGAGCCATGTTATGAAAACATGGATGTTTAGCTCAATGGATTTTCAAATCTGATTTGAGCACAGACCGTCTGCAGACATTAGAATGTATAGGCTGGTTCTTTTCTTTCCCTTTCTTCAGCCAATCAGTACCCAAGTTTTCTCAAGCATCCTTTCATTACTTCCCTTTCCATCCACTTACTAAGAGTCACAGAACTTGAGATTAAGAAGGGACCTCTCTAGCCATTTAGTTCTACACAGACCTGAAGGCCTACTCAATGATAACAAATCCAAGAAGTGGCTGTCCATTTCTCTGCTGCAGGAGGAAAGTGGCCACCCACATTCTCATGAGCTCTTTCCTATTGCAGTGACCTCCCCATCTCTCTCCCTGCTAACTGTTTCCTTCCATAGGGAGCCATCTCTTTGCCGTTGCCAAATTAACTTCCTTAAGCAATTTGAAGATTGACAATGTCTAAAAAGAATCTAAGTGGAGTAATAGAACAGCTTTGTTTCTTATTTTAAGTTATATGTGATTTTTTTATTAAAAAAAAGCCAAACCATTTAGTATACAAAGTACTTTAATTGAATTTTCTTTTTTATAAATTTAAATTACCAGGAAAACCCTTAGTGGACTTTAAAACTTGGTTTTAAACTATGGTACCCTCCCTTCTTTCCAATGGGAGCCCTTTCAGGGCAAGATCTCTTTGTCTTTGTACTCCAATTTCTGCCTATATATATATATATTTTTAATCCTCTCTCTTCTTCAGTTTTTGTCTCTTGCTCTCTGTTTCCATTTTATTATCTTCATGTTTCTTTTCACCTGTTCTTTTTTTCTCAACTGTTTTATCTGTTTATTTTTTCTTTTTTCTTCTTTTTTCCTTTTATCTTTCTCTGAGTCAGAGCTATGGCCACTTGTGGATGAGGAGTCACTGCCACTGGATGAGTCTGAGCTGCTATCACTGCTGCTGTCAGAATCAGAGTCTGAGGAGTAAGCATCTGAAGAGGCAGAGGAGGAGGAGGAGGAATCTGAGAACTCAACATCCCTTGGCTAAGAAGATCTTGGGTGCCTTTTTCAGATGTTCTCATAATTCTCTGTTAAGCCTCCCAGACCAAATGTTTCTTGGATTGTCTCTGAGGAGTAATCCTTCAAAGAACAGCTGCAATGTTTCATCCTTCAGTCTTGCATGAAGTTGAGGAAGTCCCATGTATTCACAAAGTTCTTGAAACAGTATTTTTACAGAAATTCTGCTGGAAGATGTAGTACTTTCTTCACTCAATGTTATACATTCCAGAAGACTCCATAGAAGTGAATCAGTATACAAGAGATGAGCAAACATCTTGGCAACATTATGCAATTGGTTGATTTCCAATCTGTGCACAATGTCATATTGTTCTTTGAAAATACCCTGAAAGCATTCCATGTATTCCTTTTGCAGCTTGCAGAAACACCCAGACAACAAGACAAAAAATTTCTCATATGTCCTCTGTTGGGCACAGCAGGGAAACATCATGTTGCAAAGTTCTTTCCTTTGGCTGTCAGGGAACTCCATCTTCAGTAATTTGCGAGCACATTCTTCAACATCTAAACTTGACTGAATAGTGAGATAAACTGTGCCATGAAATGACACCAGGCTGGTTTCTGTTTTGTCAAGGATAATCACTTTTTGTCCTTCTTCATCTTCACCCCCCTCTTCTTCCTCCTCCTCATCTTCTTCACTGCTTCTAGCATCTTGGTCTGTGTCTGAATCACTGTCACCTTCATCAAGGATTTCTTTCTCAATCATTTTGTATTTCTCTTCATTTTCCATAAAATTAGCATTCAGCTTGAAGATGTTAAGTACATCCTCTGGATTATAGTCATCTTCCAATGGAAGCAGATGAGTGAACTGGTCTTCTTCCTCCACTAGATCAAGGCCTTCCAAAATAACAGGGTGGTCCTTGAATCCATCCTTCCTTACTGCAAACATCACTTCAATCATATACTGAACCCGTCTGTCAATTTCAGATTCATGGAGAATGTTGCCAAGGCGTTCAAATATAGCATTCATCCCCCTGGGTGATACTTCTGTTAATTTCAGGCCACACTCTTTAAGAAATCCAATGGCTACTTCCACACTAGCATCTGTTGGTCTTTCAAGAAGTAAGGTGAGCATCTCTAAACATAAAACTTCATGTGCCACATCCTGGTTCATAAGGTATGCCACAAATTTCACAGCAGTTAGACAGAGCTGCTTCTCATTTCTTCTGTAGCCTTTTCTAAAATTGACAATTAGCCTCTTTAGGATCAGTTCTCCAATGTTGGGGAACTTGGAGTTGATGATTGCCACAAGGGCTGCATAGACATGAGTAAAGATTGGAGATGCCCTTTGTGCTTGCAAAAGAGATCGAGCCAGCAATCCCCTTCCCCTAACTATATTTTCTTGAAGGAGTTCTTGAATGATAATCCCCATGTTAGAAATGGTCACTTTATTGATAAGACCATTGATGGACTTCTTCAAGGCCTCCCAGCTCATCCTTTGGTACTCTAAGCTGTTTTTATCAGTAATCTGTTCTTGCATCCTCCTGAGCTTTGCAGGAGGAATATAAGCAGTACCTCTGAGGGGAAGGAGTGGATCCATGTGGACTTTCTTCTTCTTTGTCTGGGGCTCGTCCTGAGTAGATGAGCTCTGAGTGGTTGCTCCTTCTGTCCTCTTTTGGCCCAGTGAAGATTTTCTGTACCTTTTCTCATCAGAATCTCTTTCTTGCTGTCTCTCCTTGTGTTTTTCTCTATCCTTCCCTCACCGTTCTGTGGTAGCTTTTCGTTGTGGACTCATTTTCTGGCATTCAATGTTGGAGTACTTGGGGCTGATTATAAATCTGCTGTCTTTGCCTTCAGGTGCCCAAGCTCTCCTGCTTCTTCTGACACACCTTCTTTACCATCAGCAAAACTTCTTGTGATGAAGTTGCCCTGCTGGCTGGAAGGTGTTTGCAGGAGCCAAGGCATGGCACAGGCGTGAGGGAGTGAGTGAGTGAGGGAGGGAGTGAGTGAGTGAGGGAGGGAGTGAGTGAGTGAGTGAAGGTTGGGGGGCCGAGCTTCCTTCTGCTCCTTCTTCACTGCTACTCCTGGCTGAGCCCGGGACAGAGCTGCCAGGAAGGGAAAATATAGGGTTCTCTATGCCACTATGGCTTAAGTCACCACGCAGACAGAGGGCTTAGGTAAGGAGCTGAGCAAGATGCCAGGAGGCAGCTGTCTGCTATGCTCCTGATTCTGAGTGAGTTCCACTGATCCCTGCCCTTTTTTATCCTGGAGGAGGAGGGAGGGGGAAGGGGCAGAGCCTTGTGCACCACCTTAAGATTCACACCTCAGGAGGCAGTTTAACTTTTGTGGATGGGTGTGAGGAAGCACTGGATCTGAAGAACAATTTCCTTGCCTTTTGTCCATCAATCAGAAAACAAAACACGGCCTTAACATAGTTCTTTGTGTTTTGTCTTCAGTTTCCTTAGGGTGTGCCTTGTCAGTTCCCCCGTTTATCTCAGGCACTCAGTTTCACCATTAGTAAAATGGAAGCATAGTAAAGCACAGACTTTCTCTAAATCTTTCCTACTCCCAATCCTCTTGCATTAATGGCCTGTTAAGAAAATGTTCTAGAGTGTAAGAAAGGTCTTCAAATTAAAAGGGAAAGCATCGATCAAAGAAAGAATCCAGGAAGCCAAAGAGATCTAGAGAGCATTTTCAACATGATGTCTTTAATGAAAAGGGATGGAGTTATATTCTTGAGAATTATGATGGCCACCTTCCTATACAAGTCAAAGCAGTTCCTGAGGGTTCTTTCATTCCCAGAGGAAATGTTCTCTTCAGGGTGGAAAACACAGGTCCAGAAGGTTACTGGCTAACAAATTAGATTGAGGCCATCCTTTTGTAGTGCTGGTACCCAAACATGGAAGCTACAAATTGCAGAGAGTAGAAGAAAATTTTGGCAAAGTATTTGATGGAAACATGTGGTCATCTAGAGTGTCTGGAGTACCAATTGCATGATTTCAATTACAGAGGAGTCTATTCACAAGAGATGGCTGGTATAGGAGCATCTGTTCATTTGATGAACTTCAAGGCAAGTGATACAGTATCAGGAAATGCTTTAATTAAAAAATATTATGGAACAAAAGATCCTGTGCCTGGATATTCTGTTCCAGCTGCAGAACACAGTACCATCGAGGCCTGGGGCAAAGATCATGAAAAGTTTGCCTTTGAACATACATTAACAGTTTTCATCAGTGCCTTTGTCTGTAGTCAGTGAGAGCTATGACCTCTTTAATGCACGTGAGAAAATCTGGGGGGAAGATTTCAGACATTTAATTGTATCAAGGAGTGCAGAAACACCACTGATCATTCTACCAGATTCAGGAAACCCTTTTGACACTGTATTAAGGGTTTTGGATATAGTAAGTAAGAAGTTTGCCGTTACTGAAAACTGAAAAGGCTATAAATTGTTGCCACTTTATCTCAGAGTTATTCAGGGAGATGGACTTGATAGCAATACCTTACAAAAGACTGTTGAAGGCCTGAAGAGAAAAATGGAGCATTGGAAACATTTCCTTTGGTTCTAGTGGAGCTCTATTACAGAAGTTAACAAGAGATCTTGTTAATTTAAGAGATCTGGAAGGAGGCAGGGGGGAGGGGCGGAGCCTTGTGCACCAGCTTAAGATTCATACTTCACTAGGCACTTTAACATTTGTGATGATTCCCTCCAAGGAACTGTGCCAACACAACTCACTGGGATAGCAGGAAACTAGTCTTCATATGTACATTCCACACCACCCAGCCTACTCCTCCATCACTGTGAGCATCAGCTCAAGGTCTCCTCCACCCTCTGCCCTATGCTTTCCTCCAGTTCAGACACCCTTAACTTTGATCAAGGCCACACTAACAAAAACAGTCTTGAGGTTCTAGGTACCAGAACTGAAACAAAATGACTCTGTTCTGGAGTGTCCATTTGACTTCAGGGCTCAAGTTGAGCTCTGGTGGGCCACATGCTTTCTTGGGACTTCCTCATTTGTTCTGTGATGCCGGTCTTCACACAGCCCCTGTAGCAGCCCATTGTGCATTAGAAAGATGCCTGGCTTCAGACATTGGAGAGATGTGACTTCAAATGCAGTCTTTACCCTTATTTGCTGTGACCGTGGGCAAGGAATTTAATTTCATAGGAGACCTAGGGGGCCCAATGAAACTGTCAACTGGACCAGAACCAAATTCTAACCTGTGGGTGTCCAGAAGCAAACAAAAAGAGCAGCATAGAGACAGGAGAGTCAGGTAAAAATGGAAATTTTAACTTCAGAGTAAAGAAAATGACTCATGCATGTGGAAGCAGGTCCTTCTCTGAAGGCTGACTTAAGGTTGTTAAGGGTTGGCCCACTACACAATCATTTTGAGATAACTAGATAGTTCTCCTTGTTAGCACTTCTTGGGACAATACAAGCATTTTTGGGTCTAATGGGGACAGTCATTATCTCAATTCTTGAGAGTTCTGATCACCCTGCCAGGGACAGAACCAGAGCCCTGTGACAGGAACAGGAGTGCAGTTACTGTCCATGACAAGAATAAGGGATTGTGAAGATGGGATGGATGGCCCAGGGAAACAGGGGGAGGTAAATCCCTCGGTGAACACCTGGTGCTCATCTGAACAATGATGATGATATCTTCCTGAGCTCAAAGGATTATTGTCATGCCAAGCTCAGGGTGCAGACTTCTTGCTAAACCTTAGCCCTGGAAAACAGGGCATCTCCATAATAATTGGATAAAACCAATCATGATGGGACCACTAGTGGTTAATCCTCCTGTGTCTTGCCATTTCTACTTTGAACAAGAAAGGAAAGCTTGCAGAGTCCAGAAGACAAATGATTCTGTACAAGAGTGAGACTGGCCCAAATGCAGAAGGTTCAAACCACTTCTGGCTGGAAGTTGGGCCTTTGGGAATGAACCTTCTGGGAAATTCAAATCTGACTTAGATTAGATACCCCTTTCCTCCCTCACCCCCATGCTAACCCCTATTCATGGAACACCATTGTCAGAGTAGACCAGGACTGCCCAGCACCTTACTCACTCTGGCAGTCTGGGACTCATTCATCCATGTGTCTACCTATGCATGTCTATACAGTCCTTCTAGCTCTCTTCTACCACCATGTCCCTTATATACCACTTGAATCCCTCATCCCCCAGAAGCCACCTTCAGTCAGTCCATCAACAAAGCTTTCAGTCCTCCTTGCTTCCCCACTTCTAGACCAACCTCTCTTCCCTGCCAATAATTCCTGAGGCTTTAAACAGATTAGGGATGTGGCACATGCCAGCTTCCCCTCTCAGTCCCATCCCAACCCCAGGAAGTGGCAGAAGCCCTTGCAAGAGCCCCTGACTACCAGGATAGCTCCGGAGAAGCTACTTGACTAATTGACACTGTCGCCTTCAAACCTCGCCACCCAGCAAAGCTTTTTATACCTAGTCCAGAATGGCAGTTCTCCCTCCAGTTTCCCCACTTGCGGGGTAATGCAGGGTTTATAGCCTATCCAAAATGTCTGAGTTTTCTCACTTGAGTCTCCACAAGGGGTTAACACAAGGTATTAAGAATAGCCTGTAGCTGTCAATAATAGCCCAGCAGCTTCCACACCCTCATGAATGACAAGCAGAAGCAACATTCCCAACCACATTTTCTATGCATGTGTGTAAGGGGGGTGAGGTGTGTAGGGGTGTGTGTCTGTCTTTCTACTAGTCTCTTTTGGTTAGCACTCAAATGGTGACTGGCCTTCAACAGCAGTAAGTGAAAATCCATAGCACTGAAATGAAGGTGAGACAGGAATGATGAGGCAGGCCTGTAGCCATTTTTCATGGTGGTTCAGTCATGTGGCCTTGGTAGAAGGGGTAGACCTTCCAAGTTCTACTTGATTTTTGTCTTGCTGACAAACCCTGGTGTGTGGGTGTGTGTGGGGAGGGGTAGTGAGGTCTATCAATTAAAGAAATTGAATAGCTAGTAAGAGCAGATTAGGGTAAGGTTGGGAAGTCAAGTCCTGAAACTGATAAGCCTATATGGGGATTTTTGAGGAAGGTAAGTAGTCATCCACCCATAATCAGAAGACAGTCATTTTGCAGTCTTTCCCCATCCCCCCCCCCCCCATAGATTGGGTGCTCTAGGCAAGGAGGCTTTGCTGAATGATTAACTCTTCATGGTTATGGAGGTACATGCCAGGAGGTCACTTATCTTCTCCCTTGCTACCCAGGATTTCTGATCCAAATAAGGTAGATCAGTTTGGTCATCGTCTAAACAAATACATGAATAAAAACTGTTAAGTGTTTCCTCTGTGCCAAGTATTGTGCTTAGTGCAGGGTATACAAATGGAAAAATCAAGACAACTTTGCTCTTTAACCTAAACTCTAATTGGGGGAGACTCGGCTGAAAAATGGATGGAAAGTTACATTGCATCCATGTTGATGGAACAGCCTCAAAGGGTCCTGTGTCATATATTCCTCTAAAATATTCTGCATAAATATCGCTATTCCATCAAATTATGTATCAGTTTTCAATGTCTCTTCCTGGATTTCAGCTTGATAGCACAAACTCATTACCAAGATCCCTTCAAGAACTTCCACTATCATTGTATCCCAATGAGCTGAAACCTTCTTGATTTTGGACCACTGGTACATTTGTTTTAATTCTTGCTCTGGGAGTCATGATGGGGATGTATATATGTTTTCAAATAAGACTGTCAATCTGAGTACCGCTATCATAGTCTTTCCATCTTATATGACCATATTGGGCCAAATTGCCTCATTCAAAACCTGGAATAATTACTGGATATGAATCTTGATGGTATCAGCACTCTGGACTTTAGCAACTGGTCTAATATCCTGCTCTGGCCCTCCTTAAGTGGTAACTATAACTTTGTGTGAGGACACATCTTATTCATTGGCCTTCACTTCTGGTGATGTCTATCACCCAGATTGGTGTTATGCACCATTTA